TGAATTAATGCATTGTGGTAAATTCATAGTGTCATGCTGTTCAGATAAAGGATGGTACATACTGCCATGAAGAGATGTCCCCACGGAAGCTGCTGAGTAAACATAGCAAATATAGCAAATCGATTATATTTTGATCCTATTTTGAAAAAAATATATAGCCTATTTAGCAGGTATAAGATACATGAATGTGTGTGTGTAGATGTATAGATAGATATTTATGTAGCACATACAAATATCTGAAGTGGTAAATATTTCTATGGTCATTTCTAGGAAGAGAGATTTTTAAAAATACCAATATTGAAAAAAAAAGCTTTAATTAAGAATGCTCATTTTAATGCAGAGTTGTGATGGCTCAGGCCTGTAATTCTAGCACTGCATGTTCAAGACCATCCTGGACTGCATATGAGACCCTATCTCAAAAAATACCCACACAAACATACACAAAAGAGTAAATGTTCTTTCATATCATAAACAGTTTAAAACTTTGAAGAAGCTTAAATAAGTGCACTAATTCTTTTGTGTCATACATTCTTGAACCATAGTTTTAATATGATGAATATTTTTAAAATCCTGAATTTGGTGACGTAAGTTATTTCTTACTTCATTTCACTCTAAGTTTGCTCTATGAATTTGTTCTGGATGTCTTCATTGAATTAAAGTGAGGGACAGGACATGGGAGAAGGTCTGCATTTTCACAGTTTGTACCTGAATGTATTGCTAGGATTATCCATGGTAATTGCATTTCATTCTGGACATTACGCGTTAATACTGTGTAGTTAACATTACAAATCTTGACATTAAGATGCCATATTGTATTACAAATGTCTTCCTGCTGTGATAAAACCAACTCTTGGATATTTAGCATTATTCACATACACTTTTTTTTTTTTTTTTTTTTTTTTGCATTTAATTCCAGATAAGGGTGATACTAGCTTATGGGCCGGTTGGCTCATCCATATAGAAAGATGTATGTGTGGGGTTTTCTTTAAAAACAGGATTCTTCAGGAGTCATTGAGGCTCATTTTCCTCCTCAGGGAAGTAGGCTGAGGAGCCAGGTCAGCTGAGGTTAGAGGTGTGTGTGTGTGTGTGTGTGTGTGTGTGTGTGTGTGTGTAGCTCTTATTAGTTAAGCATTCCAAGAATGCAGTGCTGTGTGCTTCACGGTTGCATAAGAAAGACGCTTGGCACCAAGGTGTTAGACTTGACTTTGTAGTGTGACCACTCAGGATCAGGCTTTTTCCTGAGAGTCACTTTCTTTGTTCCAGGTCACAGGAAGAGACATAGACTTGCAAGGCTAGGGGAGGGGAGCCTGGAGGCAGGGAAAGATAAGCACAGACCAGAGGCCTGGATCACCTGACAGAGCAACCCCCCCACCCCCAGATTCTCAACCCCAACTGCAGGTGAGAACCACCTGGCAGTTTGTGAAAAAGACTAGGGCTTCCTAGAGGGGTGACTCCTTTAGACCCAGGGAATGCAATCCTGGGGGTTGAGCTTAAGCAGGAGGATTTCTTAAAAACCTCTACACATTATTTTTACATGAGCCAAACTTGAGTGACCCTAGCTCCCAGGGAGTGCCCTGCAACCTCCGGGAGTTCACATGGACATTTCGGGGACATGAGGGTCGGGGGTGGTGACTGGATGTGCATGGCAATCACTGAGCCACTGCAAGTCACATTCTTCATGGGGCCAGAAAAACAGTGGTGACTTCTTTCCAGATTCCATGAGTTTTCCACCCCTTAATATGTTACTTGGTTTCACTGCCAAATGATAGTAAATGCAAAGTGGTCTGGTGAGTGGTGTTAAATAGTGAGAGAGCATCTGAAAGGAGATAAATACCACATTTTCAAACAAAACACTCACCATGGGCCCAGACAAGTTAAGGCAGAGCTGGCAATTGTTTAGTATATTTCACACACATTTTTTCATCAAAGAATCACACAAGCCTGTGAAGTAGGCATCATGGTCATTTGGCATGTGAAGAAACTGAGGCTTAAGGAAGCAGAGAGCCCCACATCTCAGCTATTGCCTGGCCAGGAAGACCCACCACCTGCCTGGCTCCCAACTCTAGGGCGCACACTCTTCTTTGTAACATTTAAAGCTGTCTATCACTTTAACGTTTCCCCAATGAGACTTAGTTTACAAGACCTTCCACATGATCATGGACATTTGGGCACGTGAAGCAGGAAGATAACTTGTGAAAACCAACCAAGGAAACTGTAGGATGAATAGTGAGAAAAAATGACCAAATAGCTCGATTTTCTCTTTTCCCATGTATCCATAAATTCTAATATTTATCTGAAAGGACTGGTAATATGTGCAGAACGTACAGTCAGGTGTCACTTACTGACAGGATGTGTTCTGGGAAATTCACTGCTGGCCAGTGTCATTGCATGAAGGTCATAGAGTATATTAAGTAAACTGAGATGACTACAGGCATCACTGGGCGGCATAATCTCCTGATACTGTAGTTGTATGTGTGGTCCATTGTGGACGGAAGTATCATTATATGGTTGTATATACCAATCTTTGGGCTTTACCAAGAGTATTTTACTTAATCCTCCCAACAATTAAATGATATGCATAGGTGGTGTTGTTAATCTCCATTTCACAGATGGTGAAAGTGAGGTTCAGGTGAATTGTTGCAAATTACTCGGTTTGCGGGTCATAAAACTTAGGCTTGAGTTCCAGTGGTTTGGAGAAACTCATATACTTTGCTATTGTGCTGAGCTGACTCTTGTTGCAGCCCTCCAGCCCTCATGTTGATTCAGGTCTCTAACTGTGGGCTTCTCCCCTTCCTACCTGTTTCTTTAATTATAATAATCATTTACATTTGCTGTTATGGTTTATGTCTAGATGTCCCCTCTAAGCCTCATGTAGTCATAGGTGGGACATTTCAGAGGGCTGGATCTAGAGCGTGTGATGCTGGGATTAAGGCTGTGGTTAGCACTGCCCAAGGCGTGATGGCCTGGATGAGGTACAAAGACAAGCTTGCTGCTGCTGCTGTTGCTTGCTGCCCGTTACCTTCTGCCGGCCCCACTTGTCCATGGACTGTTTTTTTTTCTCTGTGATGCCCCTCTGCTATGTCACCCTGCCTTGGAGCCCAGCTGTCTATGGACTAAAACCTCTACAGACTCCTCTAACGTTGGATATTTTATCTCAGAAAAGAGAAAAATAACTAAGATATTTGCTGTGCTTTTATCATGCCTTAGGCATCATTTAAAGGCTGTGATTGTGTCACTTAATTCCTTAATGTTCAGAGTGGACCAAGGGGCAGCCCCTTGGGTGAAAGCCGTTCTCCAGTCCATGGTCATCTTCAGCAGCACTCTCAGCAAGGACCCCCAGGAGCCCTATCAGAGCTGCTTGAGGAAATCTGTGTGAGACTTGTGGTCTAGCCCTTTGGGTGACCAGAGAAGTCCCTCTCTGCTTTCTGTCATCAGTGCGCTCTTTCCTTGGATTCCCTAGATTCTCGGCAGTGACCTCCTAGTCACTTCCCCCTGAGTGAGTCTTGCCCACCATCACAGCCTTCTCAATTAGTCCAGGCAAATGGGGCCCAGCCACTCGCACTATCGTGACACCATCATGTGTTTGCACACTTGGGCCAAGTAGGATGGGGAAAGGTTAGATTATTTCATTTTGGCTGTGGCAGTGGAATCCTTGTTTGTTGAGCCTGGCAGGCTGAACATCCAGAAAGCAATGACATCGGTGAGGTTTACCCTTAGGTCCTGCTCTGAGCCCTGTCAGGTCAAGAGGGTGGTTTTCTGTGACTCTGAGGACACACACTTGGCCAAACCCTGTTTCTCCCGACCCATCCATTCCTTCCAGTTGGAGGAAATTTTGTTTGTTTGTTTTTAGAGTTTCTTTGCCTTTTTTGTTGTGCCGTTTCCAACACCCATAACTTTCCTTGCTGGCTTCGCACGTGGCTGGATCCTTCTCTACCTGCAGATCTCAGCTCAGCTTTTGAAGCTCACTGAGATCTCCACTGCTCACCCTGTTTAAAGAGAGCTGTATCCTTTCCAGCCCTCAGTGGTCCTCTGCACATCATTCTTATTTCTTTTTCAAAGCTCTTAATCATCATATTTTTTATTACTGTCTGCATTCTCCCTAGAGATTGTAAGCTCTGAAAAAATGAGGACCCTTCTTCTTTTTATTTCTTTTTCTGTCTTTTTCCTTTTTATCGGTACTGGGGATTGAACTCACGACTGCCTGCTTGCAAGGCGGACACTTATGCAGCTGAGCTAAATCCCCAGCCCTGGGCTCTTCTTTACTCACTGCTCTACTGGGTTCCTCACTCCTGGCAGGGTACCTGGCCTTTATCAGTGTTCGATAAATGTGGGCCAAATGAATGAATGAATGAACCGTCTGTCATTGGAGGTGAAGGTATTCACACCATTACCAGGAGCTGATTTTGCCAGTACCTTTTCTAATTTTTGCCTCTCCCAGCTCCTAAATAAATCTCCAGCTTGTTCAGGATTTTGTTGCTTTGATTTGCATCAATTGCATACTCGGGGGACCTGCTTTTACCTCAACTTCCCCAATGTTGAAGGAAGTTGCTGTGATCCCTGTGAACACTTTCTTGGAGAATAAAATCAGAAAGTCCAGATGGGTTCTCAGTGGAAGGGTGGGGGAAGCTGTAATTCCTTGGTTGAAAACATAGAGGTGCAAAGGGGGACCTTCCCATCCCTAAGCAGTATGAGAGATGTCTAGCAGCACACACAAGCAGAGCTTCTATGCAAGTAGTTTTCTGTTTATTGGAAAGAAAAGACTTAACTGAATAACAAGAACATAGTGACAAGCCAAATACTAATTCCAAACAATAGGAGATGACCAGTGCTTTGTAATGGAGAATGGTCACTGGGGCCTAGGAAAGGCTTTATAAAATAGCAGAGAGGCTTTGGGGGTGTCTACTTGGATGTACAAGCCACAGGCTATACACTGTGGCTTGGTGAGCGTTCTGTGGCTTGAAGAATTTTCTTTGTGGTTACTGGCTTTTTGGTTTCTCTAGATACAACCAGAGAATGCCCCAGTTGTCCTCTGGCTCCAGGGCGGGCCAGGAGGTTCATCCATGTTTGGACTCTTTGTGGAACACGGACCTTATGTTGTCACAAAGAACATGACTGGTAAGTGTTGCTTGGACTGTATTTCCTGTGCAAAATCCTTCAAGTCTATCTTAGCACCAACCCACTGGGAATGGGTGAATAGTTCCAGACTGTAATAACACAACTTTCTGGCAATGCCTGTCCAAGAAGGCAGAGTCCCAGCCCAGTTAGTGTCCTGACTCCCTTGAAATTTGGGTGAAAGGTTCTAAGCCATTTTCTTAAAGTCTGCTGCTGACTCAAGCATTCTTGGCTTACAAAAACAGTTGGTATTTATTACTGCTTGGGAGAGCCCTTTTGCATAGGCCTAATGGGAGAAATTATATCCCTAATTATTCACACCAACTGAATGCTTTCTGGTTCAATTGCTGGAATGATGTGGTGTCTTGGAAGGGACATGGGTGGGGGCTGCGCTGGAGGGGGGGATGGAGAGAAGGCTGTACCTGACTGGAACCAGGTTAGACTCCATTGCATCATCTAATTTGCAGGAGATTGTTTGTTTTCCCTGGGTCAGGACACAGGGTGTACTCATTACAAAAGCTGATGTGCCAGTTTTCCTGAAGTTGCTGTTGTCTTCAGCTCTGGGTGGGCAGAATGGAATTAAACAAGATTTGGGTGTTCTGCATGGTTACAGGACTGGACAGATGGACATTATAGCATAGGTGGTTTGTGTTTCTTCACAAACCAGTTGCATGGACATTTGTTTTCAGGCTTACTCTTAGATATTAGAAACCCTTCTGGACTGGGGAGAAATAAAGGAGAAGAGCAGAGAGGAAAAGGTGAAGGTGTTGGAGGCTGGTTCCCACTGTGACAGGCTAACACAGTATCTTAGAGGGCACCGACATTCATGTGGGCAGGTGGGCATGTACTGGGCTCATGAACACAGTGAGACCTTACATGGGGTACTTTATTAATAATTCAGTCTCAACCCCTTCTTTTAATAGTTCATGCCAGAGACTTCGCTTGGTCCACCACGCTTTCCATGCTGTACATCGATAATCCGGTGAGTAGCCATATGATATGTCTCTGTCCATGTGAATGTCTTGGTGATGGCTTCCCTGTCTTTTTTCTTTTCATTAAATTCAGTTAGGTGCATTTTATAGTGCATTCAATAGTATTTTCATCAAAAGCAGACCACACGTCCCAAGCTAGTCTGATGATTGTAATGGAGCTAAGAAATTTCTGTTGCCTATGATTTATACATAACTTTGATACAAAAATCCTTATCATGGCATTATAATCACCTATGGAATTCAGTTCAGTAACATGCTGGACAGATGCTGTACACTCTTTGAAGCAAGGAGGCCTATACGTAATATAGGGCCTATAAAAACCATGTAGCCTAATGTAGTAGATCCTACTTTCTAGGTCTATACTCTGAGGGTCCCCCAATAAATTCACCTAAGCACACATTTCATAGGATGTCTTGCCACTGTTGAACAATGCATAACTACATTTAAAAAAATAAAGCCATTTTTTTCTCTTTAAAATAGAATTTAGAGACATGTATGGTGAGCAGGCCTATAATTCTAGCACTCTGGGAGGCTAAGCAGAAGGGTTACAAGTTTGAACCCAGCCCATTAGACAGTTTAGCACCTTAGGAAGATTTTGTCTCAAAAAAAAAAGAAAGAAAGAAAGTCATGTTAAGATTTGTTGTTTATGCTAGCATGTTTCATCATATGTGAGTTTTAAAAATTTTCCTTGCCCTTTCTTTTCTCTAACATGACCTATTCATTTAATCATAAGAAAATAAGGGATGAGAGTCTTTTCACTGATGGCTAGGTTTCCTGGTATCACAGGTTTTTGTTTAAAATGAGGATTCCTAATGTATCACACAGGGCTGCAGATATAAGAAGTCAAAACTGGTTTTCTTCCGTATCAAGGCATGCAGAGTCTCATGTTGAACAAAAAGATGATGTTCTCTTTAGAAGGTTTGTCTGAAACTCCTTTCAATGAAGTACAAATAGGAGAGTTGGCTCAGAGTCAGCTTCTGCAGATGTGGAGCATCTCCAACCTTAACTGAAACATCTAACTTCTGTCACTTCACAGGTGGTTTAAAGAGAGAACAAGTAACTAGGAAGAAAAAAAGTAATCAACATGTTAGCCTGCCTTTGCTTTGTCAGCCACCTGTTTTCCTAATCTATAATTACATATTTAGATAAAATGTAAATTAAATGTTGTATTCTCTGGGTGCTTGGGGGAAAATACATTTGGTGGGGAATGCATTCTTTGTATGGATTATCGACCCAATATTACTTGTAGCATGTTTGATTTACCACTCAATTGTATGAACTTCTAAGTTTAAGGCAATAATAATGTAAAAGTGGTCTTCATTATTTTAAAACTCCTTATCTACTGAAAATGAAATGGTGGTATGGCCATGTTTCTCACAAAGAAAGAAAAGAAGAAGAAGAAGAAGGAGGAGGAGGAGGAAGAGGAAGAGGAAGAGGAAGAAGAAGCAGAGAAAGAAGAGGAGGAGGAGAAGGAAGAAGAAGAGGAAGAAAAAGAAGAAGAAGCAGAGGAAGAAGAAGAAAACACATAAAGCTAGAAAGTTCCTTCTTGGAAAGACCAAGCAGTACACCTTCCAGATTTCAAAGAGGAAACATCCATGGTACTTTTGATTCCATAGCAAGACCAGAAAAAGTGAGCTCTTATTCCTTAAGATGACTTTTGGCAAACCAGCGTGACAGTACACATCTGTAACCCCAGCCCTCAGGTGGCTGAAACAGGAGAACTGCTGCAAGTTTGAGGCCAGCCTAGGCTAGCTGAGTGCAAGGCCGCCCTGAGCTACACGGAGAGACCCTGTCTCAAAAAGAAAAAAAAATTTTTTTTTGAAAGATAAAGTGTGGCAGAAATCAGGACAGCTCAGCAGTGGCCCCAAGGCAAATCTTTGGCCAGTGTTTGACTTAGGCTTTGGAAGTGAGAGTAGTTGGTGAAACTCAGCATTGTCTTGTGTGCATGGCTAAAGGCTGAAGTGACAGCAGTAATTTAAAGTCACCAGGTGTGGTGGTGCACTCCTGTAATCCCAGTGTCGCCAGAAGCTGAGGCAGGAGGCTCACGAATTCATGCCCAACCTGACTTAGCAAGACCCTATCTCAGAAAATAAAAAGTCTGGAGATGTGGCTTAGTGTGAAAGCCCAGCGTTCAGTCCCTAGTACTACAATAACAATCAGTCTATCTGAAGTCAGGCTTGGCCTTGGGAATAAGTAAGGCCTTCTTCCAGTGTGATGTGACTGGAAGGGCCCAGAGCTCGTGTGGTTCTGTGTTTATACCTGCTTCTGTATTTCCCTTCAGGTGGGCACAGGCTTCAGTTTTACTGATGACACCATAGCATACGCAGTCAATGAGGATGATGTGGCCAGAGATCTGTACAGGTAAGGCGCCCCTGGCTTCCCCTTGGCCTTTTAAAAACCAAACGTTTTTCTATCTCAGTAGGAAATTCTTCCAGTACTAGAACTATTATTGGCTGGTTCTTGTCCAATTTCTGAAAAAATCTTAGGGATTATTTTATCTGAGGACCCACATGTGAGCACATTCACAAACACATGTACAGATGCCTAACACAGGCGTACTTTTCATTTTGTTTCTTTTTTGTTTTGTGTCTTTTTCATTTTTTTATTGGTACCAGGGATCAAACTCACAACTGCCTGCTTGCAAGGCAGGCGCTTATGCCGCTGAGCTAAATCCCCAGCCCCTTCACTTTGTTTCTTTACCACTGATAATCATGACAGCACAGAAAGTAACAAGAAGAGGTAATATCTTAAGGCACATGGTAATTTTGTGAAAATAAATCTTTTTTTTTTTTTTTTTTTTGTCTTTTTCCTTTTTATCGGTACCGGGGATCGAACTCACGACCGCCTGCTTGCAAGGCAGGTGCTTATGCCGCTGAGCTAAACCCCCAGCCCCCTGTGAAAATAAATCTTAAGACACAATAGAGGTTGAGCAAACCAAAGACTGTTTTTAAACCTTTCAGCCAGATGTGTTAGAAATTTCTGTTTGTTTTCCTAAACGTGGTCTAATGTTGCATTTGCCAAAGGATATCTTTTCACATATTTGTTTGTCTTCTTTCCCATGATTCTCTTTTGTAACCTTCAGATGCAATTTTTTATCCTCTTTCTTCTTTCATTTACTTTTCTGGGCTGAAAACTTGACTATGCTAGCTAGTCTCTTCCTTTTCCCTTTCTAGTTAGAAAATTTTCCTTTTTTTTAAAGGAAAAATGTAAAGTTGTAAGCTTGAATAAACAGTATGCAGATTATGCGCATGCCTTCCCCCTTCTTTTTCTTATATCCATTATAACTATATTTAGTACATTTTTTAATAGTTCTTAAAAAAAAGTAAATGACCTTTCATATATGGTCAGATTTTTCCAGTCCATAATTGTTCCCAGAGAGCAAGTCCTGGACTTTTTCAGGTCTCTAGGATCCCACCACTTGCTGCATCCTGATGATCTACTAAAAGGACTCTGCTGGCCAGGTGTTAACCACTGCCCCCATCCCCACCTCCCGCTTACTCTGCTAATTCCTGGGTGAGCAAACCCAGCCCATCCCCAAAGGAAAATGCATCCTATAGCAGTCAGAGTTTTTGGCTCTGACAAAAGCTTTTCATTTTACAATTCTTCTGCGGGCGGACAGACACAGGTGGGCTGAGAGGAAAGAGGAACCTTTTTCTCAGAGACCTCTCTCTTTCCCTCTGCTGAACCAGGAACGTATTTGGCTGTGTCATTTCCATTTTCATTTTCCATGTGACTTTGATACTTGCAGTTTTGGAGGGGGAGGCAGGTCTGTACCTTTCTTCTCCCAGGGTCTGGGGACCCACCCCATCTTGAACCCATGAGCGATCCTCCCAGAAAGTCCCTTTCCCTTCCCCTCTCCCAGGCTCTCTTCTCTCATCACAGCCAGGACTGTGATGGCCTCAGAAGTTGACTCAAGCATCCTGTCTCTGATTTAGCACTGTGTGCTCTCATTCTTTTAATAGGAAACCTACTCTGCCCACCCCTACTCCAGCCCTCTGGCTTTAATCCAAACAAGCTCAGTTGTTTAACTAGCAAACGCCCTGAGGGTGGAGGTTCTGTAAAGAAGTGCCTCAATCCCCTGGAAGATGGAGCAGTGCAAACCCCTTTGCCCCCTTCCCCCAAAGATGCTGCCAGCTTCCCATTGACCCTCAGTGTAGATATTTACTGCTGACATATGGTTCATCTCCTCTTGCATGACATGTAAAGAGAACCTATTTCAAAGCATCCATTGTTTATAGCTGTTTAGTTCTTTTTGCTTCAGGCTCTAAGAACTGGAAAATAGCTAATCAAGGGTAGTGTAGAAAACTGATTTCAGCTGTTTCCTTTATAGTTTACACTACTCGCTTCCTTTTGTGACTACATGTTTCTCTCCAGCCCTCCAGATGGGTGTTTAGAATAAGAAGGTTGCTTTGAAACGTGTAAATGAGCTACTGCAGATTTAAAGAGCAGACTTTTCTTCTTCCTTTGAAAACTATCTTTATTTCTGAAAACCCTGTTCCTTTTCCTAGTAACAGTGCCTGACTGTTTGAGTGGCCGCTGCAAGAGGCATTTGCCATTTACATTTATGCTGTTTTCCTTTAGGTTCAGAAATACAACTTTTTCAACTAGCAAGATGGTAATTAAGAGTCTCTCTTTTGTTTTCTCTATTCAGACTGTGCTGTTGATACACAGGATCAAAACTTACTAAAAAGTAATAAATGTATTACTTGAATTTGGACAGTCCTGACTGGTGCTGCTATCTTTGTGCCACAAAGTGGGTCACACTGTATGTTAGACCCCAGTCCTGGTGCTGATGAACCCACAGTGAGTGGCTACACAGCTCCTGCTACAAGAATTTGAGGTCTACTTGCTCCTGAGGTCCCTTCTCAGCAGCAAAATGAGGATGCTACAGTCATTCTCTCCTTGTGTTGGTTTCTAATGAGAAACACTCCGATTGGGTGGATGAGGATTCTTAGTGATACAGTTATGAGGCAGGTTTCCTGTATGAGCAGAGGACACTGCGTGATCCATGCAGGGTGGAGAGAAGCATAGCGCTGGGCATGGAAGCACTGAGAAGAGGCCTCTCTCCAATTCTCCAACACGACAGACCCATCAAGATTCTTGTCTGAGTTTGTTTCAGTTCATTAGTAACCTTAGCAATACCTGCTTTCTCTGGTTGGTATGGCGCTCCCGCTTAGGTTAGTTGAAGCTTCATGCTCCCGAATGGCGTGTTTATCATCCTCCCGACCCCATCCGAACTGACCAGATCCCAGCACTGTCTTTGGGTCTACAGTGCAAGATCATTTCTACCCATTTTCTCTGCTCTACATCTACCAACTTCCTTTTAAAAAAAACTGTTTCTGAAATAATTGTCTCCTGATCATTCTCAGGCAACCTCTGTTTCTCCTTACTGCCCCTCCGTGTATCTTCCTGCCAGCAGATAGCCTTTAACTAAAAGTCTGTTTATAAACATGTCCTTGACACAGTGCCAGAGAGGTCGGCAGGAGGAGTCACCTGGAAGATGTGTGCTATCCTTCTTACACCTGGACAAATGCATACAGACATACATGTGTATGTTATCTATTTGAGCAATTCTGCTTCCAGAATTTGAAATTTAGCACAGGTCTGATCCTAGATTCTAATTTTAGCTAGACCTTTACCAAATAATAAAACCCTTGACTGACTTACAGTTAAATGAGCAAATTAAAATACAATTTAATCTAGTTCAATGGCATATATGAATCTAGTTTACTAAATTGACATTTTTCATTCTTTGCTTATATGTGAAAAGCCCTAAAAGGGCTTGCTGTAAAAAAAAAAAAATCAGTTTGTTTTTTTGATATTAAGTATGAAATTTAAGCTTCTTCATGGTTTCTTGCTTTGGAAACTTCAGCTAGAGTATTTTGGCATTTCCTAGCCAGGGGGACTAGCTCCTTTAATTTAAATTGTCACAGATAAAATGCAGAATGCCCAGTTAAATTTGAATTGCAGATAAATAATGAATAATTATTTAGTGTAGGTATATTCCTGGCAATATTTGGACTTACACTAAGACATTATTTATCTGAACTTCAAATTTGTTTAGAAACCTTGTATTTTAATTTGCTAAATTTGGCAACCATAACCACTCTTCAATACTACAAGGAAATAAACTTTCAACTAAGGCATATGGCTTTATCAAGATTTACTCTATTCAATTATCTGTTGCTATTCCAATGAGCAGGAAGATAGAAAGAAATAGTTTTTAGTTTAAAAGTAGGAGGGAAGGGTAAAGAATGATCTCCTATTTTTATCTCCACTGTAAAGCCAGCTTATCACGAGCACTAACAGGGAAACTATAAAACTGCTGCTCCCCAGATTAGTTACTACAAAGGCCACTATAAATACTAAAATAGAGAAATACACCGAAACTCTGCAGTGGTGTTTCATGGTGAATTTTTTTTTCATGGTGAATTTTTATGGAGCCTTTGAAAATTAAGTATAGCTGGGATCATGGTGGTTGTAATAACCCAAGCTTGCCTCCCGGTAACCCCTGAACTTTATCCCTCCCTGGATCACAGAGCCTCTTTGCCTTTCATCTTCTCTGGGTGGTTCATGACAGTTAGTTCCTCAGCAGGAAGCTGGGATGGAAAGCCTCCCTAGCTTCTCAGGCCTTGTAATTTGGCTCAAAACATTCATAGAACATCTGACAATGTACTTTTGCCTCCTTTTTCAAAGATTTTGGTTAAGTAGAAAATTATCTGAAATTCACCCTTTTCTTTGCTCATTATAAAATAATTCCTTGAGTGTATTTAAGTCTTTTTGGACCACTCACTATAGTCTTTAGTCAAATTTTTCTTTTTCTGAGCTCAGGCAGCACTTCAGTTCCTATAGTCATTGCTAGTTGCCCTTTAGATTATTTGGTTATGAAAACACTGACACTGTAGGGGTTCCATTAGAAATACAGTATTTAGGGTCCTTTGCCAGGGGGTCAGTAACTAAGTTTCCATTGCTTCTCAGCAAACCTGGGTTAATGAGGCCCTAATGTTTGCATAAAGGATTGCTAAATAATGTGAGACAGGAGGATTGCAAGTTGGAGTCCAGCCTGGGCAGTTTGGCAACATAGCAATTTTGTGAGACCCTGTTTCAAAACTACAAAGGGGGTGCTGAGAATGCAAAAGTTCAGTGTAACAGCCCTAGATTCAGTCTTCAGTCTTGGAAAACACAAGCTTCCTAGGTGAAAGCAAAGATTTGGAAATCTGCCTGGAGTGTGGCTGTCCAGTTAGTATCACAAAGTAAGCCCACAAGTATATTCTAAGCATCCACATAGAATGTAGTATTATTACCCACAAGGCTTAAAAAATGCCCTACAGGTCCTCACAACAGAATGGTGTCGTATTTCATATAGGAACCCTTATTGTCAAAGGGTTAGATTTGGTAGCATAACATAAATGATTTTGATTCATTTTTCAGATTAATTTGTTTTGTTCTTTTTGTAGTGCACTAATTCAATTCTTCCAGTTGTTTCCTGAGTATGAAAAGAATGATTTTTATGCTACTGGGGAGGTGAGTTGAAGACATACATTCTTGTGTGCTTCAAGCATCCTCAAGACTGAAATATATTATTACAGTTGTCACATTCATTTAATATATATAATGTGTGCATAATTAATATATATTAATATTGATATTCAAACTCTCTAATTATCTTTAAAATAGTTTCTGTAATTATTTTGAATCAAGGGCCCAATAAAGATTTGATAGGTACAGTGGGTTATCATGTTTCAGTAGTTGGCCTTTTGTATTGTCGTTCATGGTGATGATTTTGGAGAGTCCAGGTCAGATTCCCTGTAGAATGTCCCATATTCGAAACTTGTCATGTTCACTCCTCAGTGCTTAGTTTCAGTGAAAACATCACATTTGTTACCCTTTGAGCTAACGCTAAACTGAATCCCACTTGGTCAGGTGAGACCTGTCACAGCTCACTTTTGAAAATACATGTTTTTACTTTAATTAGTAAATAATCCAAAACCATGTGAACTTCAGTTTCCCTAAATCTCTCTCCCAGTACTTCAGAGCTATCGCTATTGATACTACAGTATCTATTGATGACTTCTATCAGAATCTGTTATTATACTGTCCATTACAATATATTGATTTCTCTAATGTCTGTTTCTATAGATATTATCTGCTATTCTTCTGTAGAAAATACTTCTCCTTCCACTCCTTCTCTTATTTACTTTAAAAATATCACTGACTTAAGCATTGTTGTTTACATAATCCATCAAATTTTATTGTGATCATTTTTGTCTTTATGCTTACGTTGTTCTGATTTGTGTATAGAGGTCCTCCTCAAGCTGGTTCTTGAGCCCTTTTGACAGTCTTTGAGTATTATATTTTGCCACAAATACATATTCTGGAAGCATCTTTTACTTTTCCTAACTTAGCCCTTTATTACAGTTAGGTTTTAAATGTCTTTCAGACATCCCTTTGGTAAGGGCTTTGTCTCTGGCCTATGCTGCTGTTGTGAGGAGATGGAACCTTTAAGAGGTGGGGGCCAGTAGTTCTGGTTAAATTAGTGGAAATACAGCTTCAAAAGGATATTGGGACCCATACTCTCCTCTTTATTGGCCACTTCCTCCATGCACTGCTTCCATGATGTACTACTGTGCCATCTTATACCCGAAGCAACAGGGCCAAGTGGCCATGGGCTGAAATTTCTGAAACCATGAGCCAAAATAAACCTTTCCCTTATCAGTTGATATCTTAAATATTTTGTCACAGTTGCCAAAAGCTGGCCTATGTACCCTAGCCTGTCATTTATTCTAGGACTCCTGGCTACTTTTCATTGGAATGTTATTTAGAAACAAAGTCCTGAGCACTAGTCATGCCATTGCTCCTGAAATGTCATTTCTGTTAGACTTGATATGTGAGCAGAGCTAGGAAACAAAGTGTCTTGGTTACTTTTCTTCATTGCTGAGACAAAATATCTGACACCCAAAGTTAAGGAAGGAAGGGTTTATTTAGTTCATGTTTGTAGAGGTTTCAGTTCATAGTTAGCTGGCTCCACCGTAGGATGGCAAGGTAGAGGGGCATCACAAAGGAGTATTGCAGAGGAGAGACAGCTCATAGCAGGCAGCAGACAGCAAAGCAGCGAGGAAGCAGCCAGCAAAACTCAGCATCAGCAGAATCCTTCTTTCTGTCCCCTTACATTCTGTCTAGGCTGCATGCCGTTAGGGTGGTTACAATCGTAACCAGGATGGGGCACCCTTAATCTTAGCATTGCACTATGAATCAGCCCCAGTATCACATCCTTTAGATTCAGCCACTTCTCAAAAACACCTACCTATATCTGCAGGAGAATTTGGAGGAAGGGGTACATCCAGGCATGAGGCATAACACAAAGTAACTTCCCCTCTTCCCACTCCTTGTCCATACGGCTTATCTGTACACCTCTTCTCCCTCATGGAAGCTCATGATTTACAACTGCATCTTCTATTTACTTTTTGCTGAACCCTACAGTATGTCACAGATGGCTTCAGAATTTCTGAAGCAGTGTTAATGGTCAACATGAAACCTCTAAATTTCTCTTCTGATGACTTTGTCTCTCATTCTTCTCTGATCCTTTCCCTTGGCTTTGTACCTCTCTGGTTTTATTCTCAATTTCTTTTCACCTGTGCCCCTGGCCCCTCTCCCTATCCCAATGCTGGTGGACCTGTCTAGCTCATATTCCCTGTCCCAGCAATTCTATCCACATCCCTGCATCTCATAGGAGGTATTTGGATCTCATGACCATCCAAGAACCAATGGCTTGGGTCATAGAGAAGGAATGTGCAAATTGGCTGGCATGGTGTGCAAGCCCATCCTACAGCCCTAGGAGGGGAAGGATCATGCCGAGTCCTCACCTCTGAACCTCCAGGTCAGAGTCTGGGAGATGAGGGGTGTCCAGGGGGAGATCCAAGTGGTGATACAGAGCTTGGGAGGGTGGAGGATGGTGGTCAAGCACATCCACAGATGTTCACACTAAGGGAATAAAAGAACAAAGCAGTTTCCATTTTCCAAGGAATGGCATGTTCATGGACCTTTTCTGCAGTCTACTTTCGTCCCTTTCTAAGCTGTTTGGAAACCATATTTTGACTACTGCGCATAACGGTACTGGCAGATTTTATAGCCACTTGTCCAGTTGGAATTATTTAGGAGCTCTATGAGGAATTTTTTTTGCCATTCCTTGCCTTTTGACAAATTTCAGAAGCAGGTTGGGGAAAGGGGTAGGAAGTGACACTCTGGTCATTTGGCGGCAACTGTGGAAAATGCCTGTTCTCTCCTCCAACAGATGACTGATCTGCAGAACTGTGTGATTCCTCGTCTTGTAAGCATTGTGGTGAAGTTGTTAACCATGATATTGAATAGTCAGCAAAACTGCCAAATCCTGGGAGAAAATCTTGATTTACATATTTTGTTCTGGCTGGTGGTTTTATGCATGTAATTTCTCAATGTGTGTAGGAAAGGACAGTTTAACTTTTCCATCCTTCCCTGCGAGAATGAGTATTCTTAAGGAAATCTGTGCCTTCCAAGTGATGGAGGAAGACGTGGATGAGGACAGGCAGGGCCTGTGGGAGTGACACAGTTACCAGGTAGCATCATCTCCATAAAAACCACACAGATGTGTTCAGTCTGAGGGTGCATCTTTTTCTAGAAGAATGGTGCCTCTGTGGTCTATTATTACTAGAATGCTATGTTTTTCCAATCTACATGCTTAGGTCTGATTTGTCCACTGTTTTAAGGCCACGAGGCAGAATGACTAAGGGGAATTAGTAATTAGAAGTCCTGGGATCTCACAGGATGATTCTGGGAAAATCTTTTAATTTCTCTGGGCAGCTGCTTCTCATCCTCCACTCAAATGGATTGGTAGTGATTTGCTTCATTAGAAGTTTAATTGCAGTTACCTAGACTTATTTTTATAATGTCTATGTATAATTATAGTTTTAATATATCAATCTACCCTTATGCTATCCACCTGCTTCCCCAAAAATGGTTAAATTTTTCATGAAAAGAAAGGCTTTTCCTTTCTGAACTCTTAATTTGTTTCTACTTTTAGGGAGGCTGAACAAATAATGTCACTCATCATTTATAGAATCATCCTGGAAAAATAAATACATAAACTCTGTAGAAACTTTTCAATGCAAATACACCAGGCCTAATATACCCTTCGTATATGTGTGCTTGAATGAAGTTAGCTTGATATTCAAAGTGCCTGACGCATCTGTTCAAAGGCCTGATTTTGATGTAAGGAGGTCTGGAAGTAATCATCGTACCTACTTCATACCACTGTTTTGAGCGTTTAGTTAGATGATCCTTCTAAGATATTTAGCCTAGTGACTGGCTGTGATGAGCACCTAACACACGATGCCCCTTGCTGTCATTCATGTTGACAAGCTGGATTAATCTGTTATGACGCCAAAGTGTGTGGCCCAGTGAAGGTAGACAGGGGCTGAAGTGTTCATAGAAGCTCTGCCCTCATTGTTGGGATGTGACATGGCCTCTTCTGCTCTGTGTCTATTATTTTGAATCCTTCCCTCCCTCTTTCCCTTCCTTCCTCTCTCCTACCTTCCTCTGCCTCCTGTCCTCTCTTTTTCTGGCATGGTGCTGGGGATGGAGCCTAGAGCCTTGTTCTTGGGGCCTCAGGTATGCTCACTGGGCACTTCTACTGGTGAGCTGTATCCCCAAACAAAATCACATTTAAAAGAAATAATTTATTTTGTCTAAAAGATGAAGATGGGGCTTAGGAGTGGAGGTTCAAAGTGTGGTTTATTTGTTTTTTATATAGATAGCAGCGAAATTGGTCAGGACCTGTTCCAGGCTCTGGGGGCCTGCTGTGCAGACCAGAAAGCAGCATGAGTCCACAGTGGGTGCAGGGGAAAAGGGTGAACTGCTTAGTTTCCTTCTCTTTTTCTCTTCATTTCGGCCCAGAACACCAACTGGAATTAATTTTCTCTAAAGAGAGACAAATGTGTCTGTAAATCACCCTCCTCGAGGCATGAAAAAATGTACTTCAAAAGGAAACAAGCTGCGTTTAATTCCCATAATTAACTTTCTTTATAAGTGTTATCCTTTCCAAGCCAGTAACTATTAACGAGGCTGCTCTTGTTCCTGGGGCACAGGCACACTGTGGAGTCCCCTTCAGCAGCCTTTAGTCTCACTAGGCAGTTAAAATAAAATAGCCCTCACTGGAAGATAGGCAGGCGCCAGGACCAGGGGCATTGCCCATTGTTCTCCGAGCATGCAGCTTGTGGACCATGCCAGGCATGGAGGGAGCTGTGGCAGTGGACAGCCACCGTCAAATAGCAAGGTGTGAGGTTAGAATTTGTCGTTTCTTCATTGGCAGAAAAGGGCAGACTCTCTCTACAAGCAGTTTTTGGTCCGTGGTTAATTTGGAGACCAAATACATGAAAAATTCTGGAAGTAATGAAATACTACTTATGAACTCAGTGGGATACTTTATGCTTATCTGCTTGAGTCTTGTTGGGAGCATGGTGTCTAAGAACGTCCACTGATACCACTGTGGT